TGCATGAAATTCTGAACTGATCTTCACCAAATTTAATTGAATTTGTATATTTTCTTAGTATTAATTTTAATGTTTAAAGATGCGTCATATCGGTTTTTGAGAAAATTGTTGACTTACTTTTAAAAGTACATAAATATGGACTTAGATCCTTTTAAGAATAAGGAGTAAAAATTAAAATTTATACATTTTAAGGGATATTTATCAATATTTCTCGTTAGATTTCTTTATACTCTACCATAAAATTTCCATAGAAGTGTATATTTCTCTGTAAAAAATTAAAAATCAATGAGCCTATGCAAGTTCAGGCTTTTCTTTTAAAAAAAAAAAAAAAAAATTACACGAATTCTCTAAACAGTTTTGAATACTAGTGGTCCTATTTTCTTTCTTCATTTCCTTCTTTCTTTAAGCTTTTTTTTTTTCACCTTGAACCTTTCATTACATTGATTTAAAAAACATTGATAATTCTAATATCCAGAATTTGCCTTGGAAGATCATTGAGGGCCGATGAATTAATATTCTGCCCCGTTTGTTTCATTAGTTTAAGTTACCATAATTTGAGCACCTAAAATGTCCCCCTTGTTACAGCAACAGTGACTACTTTGTAAGATCATTTAAGAGCCCGTTTGGTTCATGGATTAAAACTATGAGATTAAAATTATTTTTAATTTACGTGTATTTTTTGTAAGAGAAAATATTATAACGAACCTGAACTATGATTTAAATCAAAGAACGAATCCTCTAACTGACATACATTTTTAATTACTTAATTTGTGGTCAAGCAGCACAAACTACCAGCGGACCATTCATCACGGTGATCATGTCAAATCACCAGAAAGGTTTTTCTTTTCCTTCTATTTATTTTATTTTACTATCCACAGTTACCCTATGTCAAGTGTTGTTCCGGTGTTAAATTACCCCGTTCATTTTGCTAATTCGAGTTTAGAATTCGAGTTTTGCTACAGTAAAAAGTTTTCATAAACAGTCACATCTAACTTTTTTACTACAGTAAAAAGCTCTCATATAAAATCACATCTCAATTCGAATCAACGAACTAAACGGGCCTTAGTAATTTTACCAATATTGCAAGGAAATTAAGAATTCAAGAATTTGATTGTCCAAACTAAAAATATAAAGACAAACTCTTTTTTTTTTTTTTTTGATAAAGATAATGACCAACTTTTGATTTACTAATAATAACTTTTTAAAAAGAGAACAACAACTCTCGCTCTCTCATTAGGTTTTCACTATTTTGTTTGTGCCATCGCCTCCCTCTCGCAATAGGTCAGAGTCCGGCCCCATCGTAGGGTTGATTCCTGTGTCTAGGTCTGAGAGGGGAAGGCGACATATAGACCGTGTTTAAAATTGATCTCATTTTTATTTTTTATATTTTTTTAAAAAAAAATAAAAACGTTTTTAAAATGATGTTTGACGTAATAAAGACAAAAAATAAAAATAAAAATAATTTTTTAATTTAATGTAAAATGAGAGAGAAATGAAAAATAATTTTTAGTCATTTTTTATTTTTTGTTTTTATTTTCTCATCTTTCGAGCAAATAGAGAGACATTAATGAGTTTTTTTGTACTAAAAATAATCTCTTGATAAAATTAATAAACACATTTTTAAAAATAATTTATGTCTGAAATTAAAAACATTTTTATTTTCATATAAAAAATAAAATTATTTTAGAACGAGTTCTAAATACACTCTTAAAGTCGAAGAATAGTACCGACGAGCTTTGTTCAGGGGCATCGTGGTTGGAGGTGGAGGCTGTCAGTTGTGGCAGATCTGAGGCTTAATCGGCGGAGGCTGACCTTACTGAGATGGGTATGTGGTTGTGGGTTGCCGGATTGAGAGAAGAAAGGTGTCTTCGTTGGATGTTTGAATGTGACATTGATAGATGATGGGAGATGGGTATTATTATTTTTTTGTTTATAATATATAACAAATGTGGTTTCCCCACGTTCTCATTCTATTTGTATATTCATTGAAAATTCAATACTAAAAATGAACTCCATTTCGTGCACAAAAATAAAAGAAGAATTTATATTTTTTAAGGTTGATAAAAATTTACCAAAACATGTTTTCTTTTCTTTTTTTAAATGAACATAAATGCTTTCTATTTCTCCTTCTTTTTCAATTTTCCAATAAAATACATACTTTCCACAAGAAGAAAGATTAAAAAAAAAAAAAGGGAGAGAAGATAACATGAGAAATGCTAAGGTCATTGTTTTTGTCACTCTCTACATTTACAGCTTAGCGCGTAGACTCTATTAATATTATGTATTATTATTTAAATAGAAAATATGATAGTGGAGTTCACGTGTCAAACTGTAAATGCAGTTAGTGACCGAAAGAGTGATGCTAGCATTTTTCAAGATAACATTACAGTTTGACAGAAATAATGATACTAGCATTTTTAAGAGTGATTTACAGTTTGACATGTGGACTCCACTAACATGAAATATTATTATTTAAACAGAAAATATAGTATAGGAGTTTACATGTCAAACTATGAATGCAGAGAGTGATACTAGCATTTTTTATGATAACATTGCCTAAGTCGATTTTATCTGGTAGGTGATCTGTGTGTAATTTTTTGTAATGATGAAATTGCATTATAAATATATTAAAGGAGAGGCATGTTTTATTGTACATAGTACAGTAAAATATCAGTTTTGCTCATTCATTTTGAATTGTTGACTTTGCCCTATGGGCAGGGGCTTTTGGGTCTTTTCTTGCCTTATGGTCTGCCACGTGTTGATCCTCGGCTAGCCGAAAGAGAAAGTGGCAGGGCCCACCACTGCACCACTCTTGTTCCCTTCCCCCCGCTGAATGCTCCTCACTTGTGCGTGCTTTTCACGTGCGAATATGAGCTGTCAAAATTTTTGATCAAACAGTTTTAAAGCATTTATGATTTCATTTTTAAAATTTTTATTGTTTATTATATTTATTTACTATTGTCCATTTTACTACTGTTTTGCGCCAAAATTTTTATATTACTAAAATAAAAACACCATAAATAATATAATAAAATTAAATAAAAATACGCTAAAGTAAAATAAAATCACACTAAATTAATTTAAAAATTAAACAAAATAAAATAGAGATAATTTAAAACACAATGAAGTACGTTAAATTATTTTCCTTCTTTCTTTGCTTAAGATTTCTCCCGTTATTATTTTCATTTCTTTTATGTTGTCATTTTTACTTTTTTTTAAACAATTTGTGTTACCGTTATTTTAAATTAATATGTGTGCGTAGCGCTTGTTTAAGATTAAAACTAAACAAAGACTAAAAAAGAAAAAAAAATTTGAAAAAGAAAGGTGTTGATTTGTAGTCAGATTTTGTCCATTTTAATATCATTTTATGTCAATTTTTTAAAGGCTCTCAAATGAAAATATTATAAATAATTTAAATGAAAAAAAAAAATAAATAAAAATACACTAAAATAAATATAAATTTGCACATTTTTAAATAAATTAAACTAGAAATTACTTCAGTGGTCAGATCAAAATTATTAACAATTGCGACAGGCACATGAAGAGCATGCGGAGCCAGAAGTTCACCCGTATCACTAATGCAGTCACTAATGATAATATATTAATTATTACTATTCTTCTATCATTTCTTTTTTTCGTCTTTTTTAATTCCTGATGATTTGTATAACCGTTATTTTAAATGAGTCACGCGCACAAAACGCCCGTTTTATTACCTTTTCATGTAATTGTTTTTACTTTTATATACACAGATTTTCCCATTAAAATTAAAAAATTGAGTTCCTATCACCATCAATAACACCAATGCAAATTTTTAACTTCCTTAATTATTAATATTAATTTTTAAAAATTTATATTTTAAAGAAGAACCAAAAAAAACAAAAGTTACAATACATTGTAAGAAAATTTTTGAGTAAAATATTATATAAATGTGTATATATAAACTAATCTTATATTATAAAAATTATCAACTTTTTATGTAATATAACAATATTTTTCACAATAAGCTGAGTTTTTGGCTAGTTTTATTTTAAAAGAGTCAACATTTCAAAGCAGTCCACCATTATTGTTTCTCACCCGACCCATTGTACATACATCTTCGTTGTTCATGTGCCTTCCAAACAGATAAAAGAAAAAAAAAATCATAAATTAACATTGTAAAAATTTAGACCGTTTATTTCGATAATTTGAGTTTAAAATTTAAATTTAATTATAATAAAATTTTTTATAAATAATCACATTTAATTTTTTTATTATAATAAAAAATCATATAAAATCACATTTTAACTCAAATTAAAAATTCAAATTAGTTAACTAAAAAGGCTTAACAAGTTACTTAAAAATTTTTACAAATTAACACTGAAAAATTCAGAAGGAAAAAAAAAGAAACTAGCAAAATAATTTAGGCCCCGTTCATTTCACTGATTCGAGTTTAAAATTTAAGTTTTGTTACAGTAAAAAATTCTCAGAAATAGTCACATCTAACTTTTTTACTACAGTTAAAAACTCTCATATAAAATCACATCTCAATTTGAATTAAAAACTTGAATCAACGAACTAATTTTTTAAGGAGACGTTTAGTTCGTGGATTAGAATCATGAGATTAGAACCATTTTCAATTTATGTGTATTTTTTATAAGAAAAAATACTATAATAAATTATGAACTATGATTTATCATGATATAAATCTCCTTACCAAACGTGTCTTAAATAAACAAAATAAAAAATAATAAAAATGTAGAGAGAGAGATAAGTAATTACTAATTACTAAGCAACAAGCGGCTTAATTCTCTGCGTAGAAGTTGCGCTGTCTTTCTCGTCATTTTCCATTTTTCACTCCGAAATTCTTTCTTTCTAGAATTTCAATCAAATCTAAAAAATAAAAAAATAAGAAAAAAAACTCTTCCTTTTCTGCCTTCCTTCTTCTTTCCTCTCTCTCTCTCTTTCTCTCTGTCGGTCTGTCTTTCTCTTTCTCTCTCTTTTTTTCTTTTTTTATTTGGGTTTTTAAAATTATTCGGACAACCAAACGAAAACCAGAGAGAGAGAGAAAGAGAGAGAAGGTTTCATTTTGTCGATCCGATCGGTTCTTCCTTCGTTCGTTCATTCATTCAAATTCAAACTTCGGATCAGGTTTCGTCTCTGCTAGATCTGCTTTCTTTCTTTGATTTTCCTTTATTTATTTATTACTTCTCTTTTTCAGATCTATCTCAAATTTCCAATATTTTCTCCTCAAATTCACAAAGAAATTTTTTTTTTGTTTTTTTTTTGAATCTGTCAATCTTTGTTTATCATTTTGTGATGTGGGTTTCTTTTCGTTAACCAATTATGCCCATTTAATCAATTTTCGTGACTACGAAGTCAAAAGCTGCGATCAATTTGTGTGGATAATTGACACTTCAAAGTTGAAATTTTTGCTAATTTTTATTATTATTATTTCAATGTTTCATCTAGTTGATTGGATCAGGTGTTGTATTCTCATTGCTGACTCCAGAAATCTTTTGTATTTCAGAAAGAATCTCAATAATTCCAATTGTGGTTGGTCTTAATATATTATATATAGAAGCTACAATGAAGAAGGCCTTTGATCAAACTGTTAGGGACCTGTAAGTCTTTACAATCTTATATTATTAATCCTCTTCATGATGTGATAATCTTTATTATGTGTTGGCAAACTTAGAGAATTTCTTAGTTTGAATTTGTTGCCTTTAAAGATAAAGATCCTTCCTTTCTGAAATAGGGAATTCATTAATGTCTTCTATTATTGCTTTTATTGCAGTAAGAGAGAGGTGAATAAGAAGGTTCTTAAAGTTCCTGGGATAGAACAGAAGGTAAATGAGTTTTTTTCATGGTTATGGTTCCAAGGCTTGTTGTTAGAAATCATTTTGCTAAATTTGATGCTTTTTTTTTTGGTTTGTTTTTTGTTTTAAGTTTTGAGAGATAACTTGTTGTTTGTTGGTCCTATTTTGTTCCAGGTTCTTGATTCTACTAACAATGAGCCCTGGGGTCCACATGGATCACTTCTTGCTGATATTGCACTGGCAACCAGAAACTAGTAAGCTTTGCAAAACCTGAAGAATAACTTAATGTTTCCTTATTGTTTCTATATGGAAAAGAATCTGAACTTCCTAATTTAGTAATCTCTCGATTATTTGCGTCATCATGTCTTTCATCTTAATGAGTGCATTTTCACATATTCTTGCAGTCATGAGTACCAGATGATCATGGCAGTAATTTGGAAGCGAATTAATGATACAGGCAAGAATTGGCGGCATGTTTACAAGGTCATACTCTCTCTCTCTCTCACAAGCTTACAATCAAAATTGTGACTGTCACTGTTTCAGAATTTCTCGTCATTCTTTAATTTTCTTTGTGGAGGCTTCATTTCACAAACAAAACTGATTTATTCTTGTGTTGTTCATCAGGCTTTGACAGTTTTGGACTACCTGGTAGCCCATGGGTCGGAGCGGGTCATAGACGAGATCAGAGAACACGTGTATCAGATATCAGTAATCTCTAGCTTACTCTGTGATTTGGCATTAGTGGATCATTTTCATTCTTTACTTCTTAACGACTTTTTTATATGCTTTGATTTAATTGATTAAGCAATTACAATGATAGTCTCCAATGTGACAGACGTTGTCCGACTTTCAATATATCGATTCCAGTGGAAGAGACCAAGGAAGCAATGTCAGAAAGAAATCTCAAAGTCTTGTAGTCCTAGTGAATGATAAAGAACGAATAATTGAAGTTAGACAGAAAGCTGCTGCAAACAGGGACAAGTAAGTTTGTTTTACTCGTATATTCATATATTCTCGTTGATATTTCTTGCCTAGTTACTTTCATCAATATAAATCTTTTTTGGATGAAGAAAACCAATTTAGTTATGAGTTGTGAAACAATAAAAGTAAAACATGGATCCTCTCTGCCATTTATTGATTTGAGTTTTCTATGATTATGGTGATAAAGCTTGATTTTGATTGTGTTCTCATCACTTCTTTCGGCTTCCCCGCTATGATTTTGACAACCATATCTTATCGCTATATTTTATGGTTAATTTAGGCCATATTATAAATTATAGTAAGTTTTTAAAATGGGTAACTTCGACTATCATTCCTCGAATCTGTTCACCCATTTTGTATTTCCTGAATATCATATATGGCATTTGGTTTTGTCATTAATAGTTCATATTATTGCCTGGTTGTCCTCAACCAAAATTCTATCAAGTTAGATGAAAGACATTAGCAGAACTAGGTGAGGAGTAGTAATTTCAAAGGGTAGGAATTGGATGCCACATTTCAAAATCAAAGGGTGGAAATGAGATGTGTAGTTCGAGGAGCAAAAAAAATCCAATAGGAAAAATTTTAATATCAGTTTCCCTTGTTTATTATTGCTTACCTTTTCTTTCAGTTAACTTTCTTTTATATTGTAATCATCTTTCATTTATCATCATACGTTGGTACCACACTATCTCCCAAGTACAATTTTAGCTTGTATTAGCTATTATTTTCAGTCTTAAATGTATTTCATTTTTCATAGGTGGTATAAACGTACGTGAACACTTCTCTACATTTGCATAGATAAATAGGCAAAATCGCTCAAATTTTCCTTACATTGAAAGGTGTCATCAATGAATTTTTATGATTCTTATATGATGACAGGTTCCGCAACGCGTCGTCTTCTGGTGGAATGTATAGACCCGGGTCATATTCAAGTACAGGCGGAACTGGTGACAGATTTGACGATGATCGTTACGAAGGACGTTATGGAAGCAAGGATGATGATCGGTATAGCAGAAACGGGGACTCATATGGTAGAGAAAGGGAATGGGGCTACAGAGATGATGATAAATATGGAAGAAATGGGGATTCATATAGTCGTGATGGTGATCGTTACGGGAGAGAATATGAGGATCGCTATGGAAGAGATGGTGACAGGGACGATGATTATAGGGGAAGAAGTCAAAGTGTTGATGGGAACCAATATGGCCAAAGAAGTAGAAGCTCGGATAGAGATAGAGAACGCTCTTTTGATGATGACGGGCAATATTCTTCTCGGTATGTGTTTACTTATGTAATTGTATTAATATGGCACATTAATTTATTTTTGTGTCCAACATATGTTTCCCTATCTCCTTGTTTTTCAAACTTTTATTATCTAATTTATATAATAAATAGTAGGAAGACAAGCAGGTTATGGAACAACATTGATTTATTTTTATGTCCAACAGGCATAAATTATGAAGGTTAATTATGGGGAATAAAACATAGGGGAAGGAAGTAGTGTTACGTAGGACCTACAAAGAACTTCTCGTACTTCAATTATGAGAATTGAAATACTCCTGAATCTTGTGTGTTATTGTATTGAAAATATTTCATTAAATTTTATGCTTCTTTACTTTAAGATATGTTAATTCTGCAAACTCTTACTTTTTCACTTCTCTAAATGAGTACTTCTGGGTTTTATTTTTCACAGCAGTGGGGCCAGAGGTGATGATTCTCAGGATGGAAGGTAATTTTGTGCTTAATACTCTGAATGGGTAGAATTCAATTCAGAGCAAAAGATTGGACAGTTTTTCTTTTTTACATTAGTAAAAAAATTTTGGCAGGCGGCTTGATAGGAAATTTTCTGAACAAAATATTGGTGCACCTCCTAGTTATGAAGAGGCTAGCGAATCTCGAAGCCCTGTTCACAGCGAAAGGTACTAAACTTTCTTCTTGGATATGAAGATTTGTTTTCCTAACAACTATATTCTGTCCTCGATCAATGAAGAATATTTTGATAACAGGGATGGGGAAACTCCAGCAGCAGCTGCTCCTAGAGCTTCTTCTCCTGCAGCAAACAACCATCCAATTTCTTCACCGCAACCAGGGAGCACTCAGAATCATCCAAGCCAACCACCAAATGTTCATGACACGTCTGTATCTCCTGCAAACCAGGAAGTGCAGGCTACCGATGAATTTGATCCACGTGGTGCAGTTTCAGGTAGTAAAGCTTACGTGTTCACTTGGGCGATCAACATCATGCTATTTGTCAAGTTCAAAAATCTTGCACGTCACATAACTCAGGGGATGCTTAAAATTATTGTTTAGTTTGTTTTATTATGCAATTCTTTATCACATTACTATTGCCTTGTTTTACTCTCACTCATTATTTCCTTTAATTTACTCCTGTTGTTTCCCTTCATCTTTTCTTTGTCATTCTTTGCGTTAGCAAATGCACCTGCTACGCCTCTCCTAATCAATCGAGGACTTTATGCTCTTCAATTGTTTCTTTTATTGTGTCATAATGTGATGCATACATGTATTTTGAGATACTCATGCTTATGACGTCTCTTCTTTTATCAGCTACACCAGCTCATGTAAACAGTGCCGAGGTTGACTTGCTTGGTTCCTTGTCACTGGCCATTGTTCCAACTGTATCTACCTCTGCCACCTCTGAAGCTGAGTCTCAAGCACCGACTTTCGCAGCAGCTCCGGTATCGTCTAATGTCACGAATCAGGTAGCCATGTCAGAAACTTGTAGAATGATATGTTCATAGTTTTTGTGTGAGTCTGATCTATGCCCCCCTAAACTTTAGTGCCATTTTCAGTTTGCCCCATGAACTTTATTAACTCTTACTTTACCCCTTGAATTTTGAATTGGTCTCACTTAATCCCTTTGTTAGAATCTCTGTTGAAAACAGATGGAAAAAGAGGGTCAAGTGTGGTTGTGTAGTCTTTTTCCGTTTGTTTCTAGCAGAAATTCTAACAGAAAGACCATGTGATTGTACTACCCCTTTGTTCCAGCCTTTTTAAAGTTTAGGGGGCAAAGGAGAATAACCCTAAAGTTCAAGGGGCATTGGTGAGAATAATACAAGTTCTTTTATTTTTTATTTTTTAATATTTGGTAAGAAACTTCCTAAATAAATACTGAAATCAGAACAAAGGAAAAAGGACAAGAAGTCCCCAACAAAGCAAAAACAATAAAAAAGGTTTAGATTTGAGATTAAAACCATAAAAATCCACCCCACAAAGCTATAACATCTATTACCCCATTATATGGATCTTTCCAATTCAAAACAATCAAAGAAAATTCTTTTGAGGGCTTTGTCAAGCCTGAAGGCCCACAAGGGAGTTGACTCTTTTGCTATTTCGAAAATGATTCGGTCTCTGTGTTAAAAAGCCTGACATTTCTTTTCAACCAAAATAGTTTAAGTACCAATGTTTAAGTTTCTACATTGTCCCGGAGTTTTTATTTTTTTATTTTTTTCTTTGTTGTTGTTGACGATGTTGGGCGCCTTTTTGACTTTTAATCACTGGTATATCTTATATTTGGTGAGATTATTAGAGCTTTCAACTATTTGGCATATAACAAAAGTAGAAGCAATCAAACAAATTCTTCTGCAATGATACTTCAATTTTTTGTTGTTCTTGGTGGAACTGCTCATTGCTTGTTTTCTCTTCATTCTCTTTTTGTGTTTTATCTTTAGAGGATACGTTGGCCTCATCCCTTGTATTTGAGCCATTTTTCAATATGAGGACTTTTCTTATAAGTAAAATATGACTCTACACATCTGTTTTGAATGAAGCATGTATATTTCATGGAATCTGTGTTAGAACACATCAGCGTCTGAACCAAACGAAATTGTTGAACCAAACGAAATTGTTGAACCAAAAGCTATTAAATGTGTGTTAAGTTCACATCTTGAAAGTGTAAATTCCAGGGAACTTAAGGTTTATATCTCACTTAATGAGTGGTATTGGTCGTACTTATTAGTAAATGACATTTTAGGAGCTTTTGGTGTAGCTTTTCTTCTGGTAGGAGAATGCATAGCTTCTCAGTGACTTTTGTCCATTTTCTCTTCTTTGCTCACTTTGAAAAATGAATATAGTGTCATTTGACAGAGTAATATTGACTTGATGCAGCACTTTGAAGACCCGTTTGGCGATGCTCCTTTTAAAGCCATACCTTTGGACACTACCCAAGCTCTACCACAGACTTCCACTTCCATCCACACTACGCATGCTGGAGTCCCGAATGCGAATGCAGGATCTGATTTTGGTTTTGGGGACTCATTATCTGGCTTAACATACTCGGCTCCCAGTTTCTCTTCTGTCCAAACTCCTCCAATGAACTCAGAGTTTTTACCTCAAGAGCTCTCTACCGCACACCAGAACACTGATATTCTTGCAGATATTCTCCCGCCTTCGGGGCCATCACCTGCCATAACTGCACAGCCGCCTTTTTCAGCTCCAGCAGCCCCACCTGCACAGCCAGGCGCTAATGATTTCAGGAATTATCAACCACAACCGGGATCCATCGTTGCTGTTCCATCAAATATGGTTCCTCAGACTCAAAGTGGTCCTGCTGGACAACATGGGAATTATCTCTCACATGCACCTACTGCTCCGCTGACCTCGCATGTGGTTCCTCAAACACCAACTGGACCAACCGTACAATTTAATAGTGGAAATTTTCTCCCACAAGGACAATTCGCGGCTCCAAACAATGGAAGCTTCTATCCTCAACAGGGAGCATCAACAGTTCCCGTGACTTCTCACACAGTTCCACATTCTGCAGTGGGACCAGCTGGACAGCTTAACACTGGGAACTTCCTTCCCCAACAGAGTTCTGCTCATCAAGTTGTTTCTTATCAAGCATCAAGCGGACCGGCTTTGCAGCAAGGCAATGATCTTCTGGGTGGCCTTCTTCCGCAAACGGGACAAAATCCACCTTCAGTTGCACAACAAGTTACTCTTCCATCTTCAACAGTAACACTAATGAGTACTAAACCAGCCGATGACAAGTTTGAGACAAAGTCAACAGTCTGGGCTGATACACTGAGCAGAGGACTCGTTAATTTGAATATCTCGGGATGTGAGTGCTCAGATCTCTTTAGAAACCCCTCTATTATTTTTTTTCTATCTTTATTGGGTAGTTGACAGTTATATGGTTTTTCATGTGCAGCCAAAATAAACCCATTGGCGGATATAGGGATAGATTTTGATGCCATTAACAGGAAAGAAAAGAGGATGGAGAAGCCTGCTGCAACACCAGTAACTTCCACTGTGACGATGGGCAGGGCAATGGGGTCTGGTTCTGGGATGGGCCGTGCTGGCGCAAGTGTGCTCAGGCCTCCACCAAACGCTATGATGGGTTCAGGTATGGGCATGGGTATGGGAATGGGTGGTGTTCCTGGTGTCGGTCTCTATGGAGGCATGAACCAACAGCCTATGGGAATGGGAATGGGCATGAATATGGGTATGGGACAAGTTCCTCAGATGCAACCTCCCACCGGGTTCCCACCTGGATCGAAAATACCTGGCACTTATAATCCTATGATGGGCACGGGTGGTTATGGTCCTCAACAGCCATATGGCGGTTACCGATAAGATTGAACCGTGAAATCAGTCAATACTGTTCCTTTAAGGTTTGGCTTAGGTTGCGTTCCTCGTGGAATCTACCCGCGTTTGGTGGCCACAGGTGTAATTTTTGATGGGTAGTTGCAAAATTTTCTGCATGGCCTGATTTGGTGTATTTTTTCTTTTCTGTCTTGATTGTTTGCCTTGCCCTTTTCTTTTTTTTTTTGGGTCACGAGTTTATAGATAGCTACTTTTGCCAATGTCAGCGGTTGTGTTGTTGTGCCTTATTATTTTTTTCTCCTCTTTTTTGGCCCCCTATATATATATATTTTTGGTCACGTGTCAAAGATTCATAACAATTCTCTGCACACTGAAAAATATGTCAATTCATTCTTCCATCATTTTCTCTGCTATTATTTGCTTGTACTTGCACAATAAAATATTACTTTTGATGAAATGTTACTATGGTACAGATTATGTTTTGTTTTGTCTTTTGTTTTGTGCCCCTGCTGCTATGGCAGTATATTGGTGCATTGTTTGATTGATCTCGAAGATGTTTTAAATTCGGTTTATTTTATCGATTCAAGTTAAAATTATAATTTTATTATAATAAAAAATTTTCAGAAGTAACATTTAATTTTTTTGTTATAATAAAAAATTCACATAAAGTCATATTTAAAGGATGTTTGGTAAAGGGATTCGTTTCTTAATTCGAATCATGATTCATGATTCGCTATAATATTTTTTCTCACAAAAAATTCACGTAAATTGAAAATAGTTTGAATTATATGGTTTGAATCCTTCAACCAAACGTCTTCATAAACTTGAATTAAAAATTTGAATAGTAATTAAATTACTTAACGGCTAATAAAGCCGGTCCGAATTATCAATTGCTATTTACGTAACCTTTACCTATACAAACTCTCTCGTTTGACGTTCTTTAGTATTTCTTGTACTATTAGAAACACTGGTGTACTCTATTTTAGTTACCATTTGATTAAAATCACGTGGCGTGTAGGTGTCCAACAATAGATGTATTGTAACTTTAAGTGCACTCACCTAATTTTTGTTTTGAACGTCTACTTTCTTTTTTTTCCTTTTTTTTTTTCCCCTTCTACCTGACAGCCTCACAGACACAAGCCTTTCTCTTACCCCCCTGAGGCTGTGATAGTTTCTTATTTTATTTTCCTGAAAGCCGTCTCTTTTTGAATCTTTGTTGTAAATAGTTATTTTAGTTATTTTTAGTCGTTTTTTTTCCTTCTTTTTCTTGCTGATTTCGTTGTCTTCATAATCAATAAACTTCTTTTCTTGCAATTGTAGTTGTTCTACACATAATATTGAAAGATAATTTGATATACTTTCTCACTTGTTATGATGTGTGCACGTGCATGATAATGAAATGAACCCTTATTATTAGAGCCGATAACAGTGCGCAGGGTACACCGGTGTTATAGAAAATACCTGGAAAAGAGCTTCATTTTAATGTATTTTTGTTTAATTTTATTATTTATTCAAATTATTTATAGCATTTTATTTGAGAAGTATCAAAAAGTTGGTGCAAAATAGTGTTAAAACGGATAAAATCGGACCACAAATTAATTTAAAATTAACAAACAAACATAATAAATAATAAAAAATAAAATCGGGATTTCTTATTGGCTGTCGGATAAAAAAAAAAGAACGGATCAATTAGTGCGTGTGGAGCACGTCGATTCAGTCAATGAACTTGTGCCACGTGTCATTGATGTCTGGTCCACGTTTTGTGTCTTTTGATTGCACATTTGCAAGCTGACAACTGGCGTCTCGCTCGATGCAACAGCTTGCAGTCCACTCGTGTGGAATGCACCATATAAGCCAACTAATCACTTGTCAACATGTGGCGATTCCATTGAAGCGTGCCATACTAAATCATTTTCTTCTGAAAAAAAAAAGTTTTTCTTGTTGAATTTGAGGGGAGAAATGGATGAAACGTTCATCCTCTCCCCCAAAAACCAATTCTCTCTTAGTTATTGGGAATAGATAAAGATAAAAATGTTAAAGAAAAAAAGAAGATGAGAAGGGGAGGAGTTGCCATATGTTAGCATGAGGAAACTCTTTAGGAGCACTATTCAAAATGAGATTCTTGATTAGCGTGTGAAAAAAAAAAACACATAAATAAAAAGAATTGAAGATGAAATCGGGCAAAGATTTAAAGCAAAAGACAAAAAAAAATAAAGAGTAAAAAAATTTTAATTTATTTTGTTGTGTTTTAAATTAGTTATATTTTACTTTGTTTAAATTGTTTTCATTTAATCCGGTTTGGGACGTACTCCGGCCACCATCTTCGGCCGGTCGCCAGCGGTAGGGGTGTTCATCGGTTTTTAACCGACAATTTTAGTCAGTTTTAAAACCAAACCGACAATGTCGGTTTTTAAAAATTTAAAACTGAAACTGAACAGAAAGAACAATGTCTTCAGTCGGTTAACTGACCGATTTTTAAAAAACTTTTTGTGAACTATTTTCTTCTTAAATTATAACCATTCAAATATTTAATATTTAAATAGTTAAAATTAAAAAGAAAAAAATGGCTTAAAAGACAAAAAAAATAAAGCCTAAAAGAATGTATCCTTAAGGACTAAGGCTTTACATCTTATCTCAATTAGAAAACTTATTTATATTGAAGTCCATCATATTATTGAAGATTGACATTCAAAGGAAGTTAGACATCTCTAACTTGTAAGTTGTGATGGAGAAATGAAATACATAGCCCTTATATAGAATAGTTGAGTAAAGACATTCTCATCTCTTTTCAATGTGAGACTTTCAAAAGTCTGTTGTGCTTAAATTTTTAAACACATCAAACTTTTAATAATCCCACATTGAAAAGAGATGAGAATGTCTTCCCTCAATTATTCTATATAAAGGGTTATGTATTTCATTTATCCATCACAACTTACAAGTTAGAGAGATCTAATATCTTTTAAATGTCTATCTTCAATAATATGGTGAACTTATATTCACCATCTCTAAGATTAGAGGTTCAAATATATGGATAATAACTTTTTTTTTTAATTGGTCGGTCAGTTCAGTTTAACTGATCACTTTGGGAATTTTCAATTTTTTTCGATCGGTTTGGCAGTTCGGTGTTAGTCGGTTTCATTTTTTTGATTTTTCGAACACTCCTAGCTAGCGGTTTCACATCGGAGCTCTGACAGAAAACCACGAAGTCGGAGTTGTGCCTCCTCCTCCGGGGAGTGGCGAGGTTGAGAGGCAGAATGGGGAGTGTAGATTCTAGTGTGGAGGAAGTGATGGACTCTGTGGTAATGGTGGTTCTTAGTGGTGGAAAAGGAGGAGGAGGCGGTGGTAATGGTGGGAGAGAATTTAGGGTTTGTAAAAATGGCGGTCGCCATGTACGAATGAAAAAGAATCTTTGCGAATATGCGGGCAAGATTTACGACGAAAAGTCAGAGAAAAAAAAACCCTAAGGTGAGAAGAGAAGGAGAGGAGTTGCCAAATGTCAGCATGAGGAAGCTCTTTAGGAGCACTATTCAAAATGGGATTCTTCTTTAATAATATGTACTGATTTTGATTAGTGTGTGAAAAAAAAGCACATAAATAAAAAGAATTGAAGATGAAAGTGAGAAAAGATTTAAGGCAAAAGATAAGAAAAAAAAATGAAGATAGGCAAAAAACTTTTAATTTATTTTGTTGTGTTTTAAATCAGTTATATTTTACTTTGTTTAAATTGTTTTCATTTAATTCTATGGTAAATAATAATAGATAATTGATAAATAATAATAGATAAATAGATAATTGATATATAAATTTTGTTGCCTCTGTTTGCTAAGAAAGAAAGCAAAGGCCAAAGGGGAAAAAAATGAGCAGCAGCGAGAAAGCCATAAACGCAGTTTTCTACGCGGAGACGTACCATCCGATCCAAGCCGGAAGCATCGACGGCACCGACTTCCTCCCTCACGACAACGCCGTCTATCGTGCCCATCTCTGCTCCTCCGCCTCTCTCTGTATACATACATCGTTGTTTCTCTCTCAACATCGTCGTTTCTCTCCTTCCTTTACCTGAAATTAATGTAAAAAAAAATTCTTTTGTAGATGACCCTCTCGGCGATCCCAACCTCGTCGGCGACCCTTACTGCACTCTCTTCGTCGCCTGCCTTTCTCACCACACCACAGAGCACACGCTTCGCAAGGTTTTCCTTTTCTTTTTTCTTCTGTTTGGTTTCCGAGAAAATCCTTTGTTCCTGCGCATTTACTTTGCTTTACTGGAAAATGAATATATATATATATATTTTGCTTCGTTTAGTAAATTAATTAACTAATTTTATCCGGCAGGCTATGAGAAAGTACGGTCGGGTGAAGAATTTGCGCTTAGTTAGGCACATTGGTAATTTTCCTTTTCACATTCCTTATTTATTTATTCATTTGTTTATTCACTTAAAAAGATTTTATTTGCTATGTGTTTGTTGTTCAAGCTTTGCATAATCATGAACAGAACAATAATATGAATACATCTATGGTTTTGAAAGGGGACAGTTTCAACATGATTTGTAAAACAGGTGTCACGTTCTTGAAACCAGAGGATGAGTTTTTGTTATAAACCCATCAAAGCATTTAAGAGTTTTAACTGAAATTTTAAGAGTTTGGGTATTTTTTTTTTCTCACTCTAAGCTACATTTTAATTAACTTGGATTACTATCATTTCTTATTGAATAAGTTACAATTCTGGGTTTCTTTCTCTCTCTTTTTTTTTTTCTCCCCCCCCCTTTTTTTTTTTTTTTTTTTTTTTTTTTTTTTTGTGAATTCCTCATGTGAAGAAATTTTAGAAGTGCGTAACTCCTTCACGCATGGTTTTGTCAATTCTTTGTTTTATACCAATCCTATTCGGGCTGTGGTTATGGTTGATACGTGATTTGTTAAAAGAGTTTTACATAATTGGTGCTGACTTTACTAATAGGAACTCAATTCTCAGCAGTAAGTATAATTAGTAATAAGATTTATGGAATTCTTTCCTTTTAAAACCACTTGAGCATTGAGGAATAAGGATTCTTATTTGTTTTACGCGTTTCAGTAACTGGTGCCTCGCGTGGTTATGCTTTTGTTGAGTTTGAAACAGAAAGGGAGATGCTGCGTGCCTATAAGGTGCTGAATAAGTCTTTTCTTATATGAATATGATAATTTCTTTTTTCTTTTCGTTTTTTAGGATGTTGTTAGCTTTTCTTTTGTTTTCTTGGGATTGTGTGTTGTGAAAAAGAGATATTATCGTGTTCTCTTCTAGGTAAGGTGGTGGAGTTAGTGCAATATATTTTTTTTGGCTGAAGAAAGTTGGTGGTGCCTTTTATCAGCGTGGACTGTACGTGCATTAATACAGAAAAATAAGTTCTTCTGTTGGTGATAAGATTATGAGAAAAGAAACATTTTGTTTCAAAAAAAAAAAAATTACAAATACTAGATGCTTTATCTAAGCATCTCTCTGGTTTGATCTTTTAGCCTCAGGAAACTTGCATTAACATGGTGTGATGTCACTGGTGGCCTTTGCTTCAATGAAGAATAACATACCAAATTTTTTAATCAATTGAAAGTCAGAGAATCAAAATCGTTTAATGTTCTATGGTTAGATTGTCAATGAAATTTTTTAATTTGGGAGTGAAAAATAAACCAATGTTCGTAGAATTTTGAGTCTCTTCAAGTTTTGGAACATTTAGGAGTATTTATGATAGAATTAATGTTAAAATCTATATGCAACTCTATTAGCCTCAGAAGTGCGTATTAGGCCCCTGTGGAGATATTTTATCATCTACTTAAACTAGCAAGTGTCCTAGATATTGAAAGGAAAAAAAAAAAAAAAGAATAAACTTTTGAGTGGAAAAGGCTACTCCTAATTTACTACCTTGTATGGTAAATGTAAAAGTTTTAGGAAGCTAAAGTTGAGTTCATTTTCATTGGATTGTGACTAAAGTGCAAAACTGGACTTTACTATTAGCACGAGACTGAGATACTGTCAAATTATTGACAATTTTTTAAGGGCTGAGAATTTTAAAGATATCCCCTCTTTGTATTCCTCCAAAGGTGTGAATAGCCATGATATTTTTCTTGTTTACTTATATAGGATGCTCATCATTCAGTTATTGATGATTGTGAAATTATAGTTGATTACAACAGACAACAGTTGATGCCTGGCTGGATTCCACGAAGGTTAGGTCAGTTTGTATTCTCATCATTTAGAAATCTACTCCCACATAGAGTGAATTTGTGTTGATTTTGCTATCTTTTGACAGGAGGGGGTCTTGGTGGTAAGAAGGAATCTGGACAGCTTCGTTTTGGAGGACGGGAAAGGCCATTTCGAGCACCCTTGTATGCATTACTTCAATCTCATGTGTATATTTTACTCAGACTATTCATGATTCCTGAAATAATTTAAATTGTAGTCATATGATATTCTTCACTTCCCTCCGTTTCTGAACTATTTGGACAAAAAGGAAATCATGAAATAAAACGGTCAGAGCTTTGCTGTATGCCATAATCTAGGAAATATAGTGAAGGATAAGGTGAATTTTGAAGTAGGTGGTGCCATGATGGAATTTTGTTCCTTTTGTCTTGTTTTTACAAAACAACGAGATTAGAATGCATACAATATACATCTAAGGAGAATCAGATCCACTAGCATTCAGGATAGGATGTAGACAGAAACATTCTATGTAGACAGAAACATTCTATAGCAACTTTGGGCATTGTTATAGCTATTGCTTTGTTGGTAGCCAGCACAGTGCATTAGAAGTACTCTCTAGGAGGAGGGAAAATCGGGAAACTTTTAACTTGTAAGGTTCAAAAGTTCTTTTATTTGATTTTTAGCCTGAGTTGTCTTGCGAACATATAGGTCATTCAATTACAACTTTTGATATGCCTAAAGTTCCCAAAACCTACAAGTGTGCTCGATTTTAAACTGGTCCCCGTGGAACCCTACAATGTTTGGGAAGCATGAAACTCGCGGTTACTTACCAGGTAGGTGGCCTTGAGCTAGTAGACCCGAGGCTGTAGGAACTCAGCAAACCATGAACCTGATTGCTCAGCTCGCCCTCAAGTTTGGCAAGGCTAAAAGTCTCGCAGCATTTAGAAAGTCTTCTGGGCATTTTGTTTGGATTGAACCACGAGCAGTCTATTCAATCTTTGAGACTTCAAAACTACTGAAGTTGGCCTGGATTTAGCGTTGAGACATTTTTAGGGGTTTGAAGTTTGAAGTCACCTTCATCATTTGATGTTTTAGGATCATTATCATTGTCATTGTCATAATCATTTCTCGTGAGGATCAGTTACGTTTTGCCTTAAACATGCATTTGTCCTATTTTCTCATTCAATCTTAATAAACAACTTGATGATGTTGGGTATGAATTGTTGATTTGGAACTTTGTTGAATTTGAGTAAATAGTTTATAGCCCTATTGTTTAGCAACTTATCAGAGCACTGAGAATTTGCCACTTCCAGTTTTTAGCTGTTTGAATTAGTGAAATAAGTGCCTCAAGCGTAAGAAAAATGCAATAAGATTAATACCTTCTGCTGTCTTTTGACTCTTTTCTTTCTTACCCAAAAGAAAAAAGGTTCGACTGTTTATTCTATACAAATTAACTGATTCCACTCCCCTTTTATGTATTTAGACGACCAATCCCATATGGCGATTTGAAAAGGCTCCGCATTCCACCTCCGCCGGAAGGAAAATACATGTCTCGGCATCAGGTATTTTTCCTCACTTCTTTTGCCATATAAATCTTCTAGAACATTAATTGGATAATTTATCTGCATGTGCTACTTACTTTCAAAGGGATCAATGGTCATAATATTAAACACCAGTTTGTTGAACTCCGACCCGTGCCAGTCTCTGTATCTTGATGTAGGTAATTTCTATAATTTGATTCCTTGGCCTTCAAGAAAATCCTTAAAATTGTGTCATTTGAAGGAATTTTTAATGGTCATGACTAAAATTGCTTATCCTTGTCCAAATACGCACAATCTTGTAGTCGGGTCATGGATTCGATAACCAGTTTACGGAAAAAAGTTATTGAGAATAAGGGATCAAAGAAACATTTAAGAGGAGTTCTGACGTTTTTTAGAGGGAGAAGGATGTGGAATACTGCTGTAGTGGTATTGTGTTGGGGAATTTGGTTAGAAACGAAAAAGAGGTTTTTTGGCAATGTAGAAAGCAAGGCCAGCGATCTGTGGGGGAAAAAAATGAAGTAATGTAGTATACTCCATTGTTGATTTGTCTTCGTAGTTTTTTTCTCTTTCTTCCTTCTTATCCAGTACTGGACATTCATAATTCTTTATGATTTTTTCAAGTAATGTTTCTTTTTTGGGGGGAAAAAAACCTTAAAATTCAAAATTGAAAGCCACAAGTTGCCATTTATGCCTGAATTCACTTATTTATTGGTGTAGGTCCCATCCCCACCTAGAAGAGAAAGGAGCTTGGAAGACAGAGAAGAAGAAAGCTCTCATAGGAGCAGGTCCGCGGATAGGGACGGACAAACTCGCAAAAGCAGTCCTGCGGACAGTCGCAAGAGGAGATCTATGGATGACCGGGAGGAGCGCTCTAATAGGAGCTCGGTGGCGCAAGGGAAAGACTACATTGAAAGGACTTCCATGGAAAGGGATGGTTGTTCCTCCATTTCTGTCAAGAGGGAGGAACGCTATCACAAGAGGAAGTCTATGGACAAGGAAGACCACTCTCACAAAATGGGCTACAAGGATGGGGATGAAAAACATTCTCGCAGGCGACATGAATCCGGTCGGCGTGAGTGAGCGTGTTGTGGCAATGGAATATGGTATGGAGGGGCCGATGAGAGGCGATAAGAGTGCAATTTGAGTGGCAAGGATAACCGATGCTTTTAAATTTAGGAATTTATCCTAAGATATTGTAAATTTTCAGGAAAAGTGGTCTTCCTTTTTAATGTAAAAATCTTTGATTTATGGACGTCTCATTCTCTTGATAGAAAATGTTATGTTCTTGAATTTTATGTTTAATTTGACGCAATGCACTTTAAATGTTAATGATATAATAATATTTTTTCCCCCTTAGTGTACAGGGTATGGCAAATGCCTCCATAGTGAAGATTCTCCTACTCAAAACTTATCGTCCCTATCCACCATATTAAACATTTTAGTTTTTTTGGGCTAATTTATGTTAGATGGGATTTTCACGTTTCAAGTACCGTTATCTCTTCTCTAGTCCTTTTTAAAACCCTTGTCTTTGCTTTTAATATTTATTAAGAATTGAAATTTACTAACATAATATATTATTATTTAAATAAAAAATAAAATAGTAGAGTCTAGAGATAACAATTTTACCCGCTAACTCATTTATCCACGGGGACTCACATTAAACGGATTCAGATTGTAAATGGATTATATTTTTACCTGTCATGAGTTACGGGACGTGGACGAGTTTAGAGATTCCCGACCCTATTCCCGATTTAATTATATTCTATTTTAAAATTAGATATATTATATATAATATGCTATAATATATAATTTTAAGTATAATTTATTGCATAATGTGTGAAAATTTAAAACTACTTTTTTTATTTTTAACTTAAGGTCTGTCTGTTTTATATATTAAAACTCAAATTATTGATTTTGTTGTAGTATTTTTCTCTCATAAAAAATTTTAATTTTCAACATCAGAATTAAGAATCATGATTTGAATATACATTTCAAATGGACCCTTAATGTTTTGTATGTTTGTATTATTTATTTATTTTACAACAAAAATAACTATTCTAGTAAATGGGCATTGTGAATACTCTAAATCCGTGACGGAAAAATCCGTACCGTAATTCGTCAACTTATGAGGGTTTGTAGGGCGAGTATGGTAAGTATTTTTATTGATAAGGCGGGTTGGTGAGAAGATCATTTTTTCTTAAATCCGTCCCGTTGCCATCCGTATTAGATTCATGTGTCAAATAATAAATACAAAAAATGACAAAAATAGTGATGCTAGCATTTCTCGTATTTATTTATTTGTTTGATTTTGAAATATATATAATTTCCCTTTAGAATTGAGAAATTGATAATTGCGGGCAGGTCAGATTAAAAGACATCTATCTGATATGCTCAACAAAAACAGGTTTTCGTTTTATCATCACATACCTATTTTTGGCACCAAAATAAGAAGAAAAATACATATTACTTTCCATAAACAGTCCCCTAATACTCATTTTTAATTAAACAAATAACTTGGATATCTTTCACCCTCATCATCATTATCTAATCTTAAAAAATAAATAAATAAAAAGAAAAAACCCAAATAAATGAGAGCAAAACATCAGATCAGATAAAGCCACTTGTGTTGTTCTTGTTTTGCAGTGAGATTGTGGACAGTCTGTCTCAGGTGTCTCTGAAGTTTCACACAATTAAAGAGCATCATAATAAGCAAACAAAAATCTTTTTATTTTTATTTTTCTTTGGTTGGTTCTGACAAGAGGAGATCTCAGATCAGAAACCCAAAACGACAAAACACCAAACATCACATTCACTTTCTTCTCCTTCTCATGCTTATGGCTGTCGTCGCTCCCTCTTCGCTTTCCCTCGGTAATTTCTCCTTTTCTTTTTTTTTTTGTTGTTGGTTTTTTCTTGATTATTACTTATTTTGATCAGAGTTGTAGATTTCTCGAATTTGAGCTATACCCACTTCGATTTTCATGCCTTTGACAAAAAGTACTTTTGGATTTTTTTATTAATTTTTACATTTGGACGAGCTCGCAATCGCATTGAGTGTTTGTTGTTGTTGTTGTTTTTTTTTTTTTTTTATAAGCTTCCTGTTATAGGTTTATTTGTAGAGAAGAGCCTCGTACGAAAATTAATGGATTGTTGGTTTCTTCCTTTCTCTTTTGTTGCTCATTACAATATTAATGAAATAGTTCAGCTTTCTTTTATATATTTATGAAGAATTTTGCTTTGATGAATGTAAAAGAAAATCTTAAGTTCTTAACCAAAATTCTCTTGAGTGGAGGCACTGATTTATGATTTATTTATTTTTTGTAATGGAAATTATCTATAAACACATACATATGGAATTTTGTATTCTTGTTTAATGTACTTTTTTTCTCAAAATCTATTGCATTTTGGAGGGAATTGTTATTCTGGGTCTGCATTGTTTGTCATGTATTATTTAAGCCTCTTCTTGCTTTTGTTGTCTGCATTGTTTGTTCCTCTTTAAGATTTTCATTTTACAAAACCACAGTCTTGTACAACAATTTTTATGTGGCGGATTGCTTGTTTACTCAGGTCAGTCCCATTGTCATTCATGCCGCGGAGAAGGAATTTATTGCTTGACATCGTATGGGATCACAAACAAATTCAAGAAACCTCCTTTAGATGGTCGAATGGTTCCTCATTATGCCGGCATAAGGTCTAGTCTAGTTCATAGTTGAATATTGCAGTTTAAAATGACATTAACTTGCATGTACATCATAAACTTTGAATCCTTCTTCTGTGTTTGGCGGGGGAATATTTTGCTCTCTTTTCCTGTGACTAATTATCAACTTGGTTATTGATATTACAAGGTTTGGGACTAAAGGAGGGAAATTTGATATTCTGAAATCAACTAATGAATAGAAGTCAGGACCATAATTTAGCCTTTGAATATTTGTTTGATTTCACTAGCTTCGTTACTTTTTACTCCATAACATGTCGTTTTACAATTTCTTCTTCCATAATGAATAAACTTTTAGGTGCAGGAGTCCATTTTTCAGTTCATCACAGTTCCGATGGCTGTCCGTTGGACGAGACCTTTGCCTCTGGAAAGTTTCAGTTGCTGCAGATTACTCAGATTCTGTTCCAGATTCCTCTAACTTTATGACTAACGGAGGCTATCATCCTCTTGAAGAATTGAAGGTGGACAAAAAGAACTGGGAGACTAATCTCACTTCTGCTGAAATTGCGAGGACAGCAGTTGAGGTCTGTGTGTCATGCTTGTGTTGTGTGATATGTGTCAAATTTGAGTCATTGAAAGTAGGTTAGCTACTTATGTGGACGGTAAAACTCATATCTCCACTTGATGAACAATTAAGGAAGTGCCTGCATTTTTTTAGGCTAACAACAGTGCTTTGCTGATATTTCCTGGAACCATACATTGTGAACCACACGAACAAATCTCATGGGCAGAGTTTCAATATGTTATCGATGATTATGGAGGTATCTTTCTTTCTTATTTTCTTCTGTAATGGGGGGCAAATAATACCATAATCTGATCCAAATTTAACCTTTTAAATTATTTGTGTAGATATATATTTCGAGATGCTTGATGATGCAAACATTTTAGAAGATCCTTCAGCTAGTAACCCTGTGGTGAGGATTAGTTTACTTCTATGATGTTCTTTAACATGGAAATTCTGCATATCATTGAGCTGAAGAAAATATCTTATTGTAGAAGTATTTGGGTTCTCCTCATCCAACTCAAAAGTTAGACAAGGTCAAGATTGTTTCGGTTTTTACGTTTAATTAAAGGGGAAAAAAAAGGAAAGGAAAAACTTTCTAAATCTTAATGACAAATTCTTTGAGGTTTCCATGTCTGGGTCTTGATTTTCCTCATATTTCCTAGTTAATGAATATATGCTAAGTATGTATGCTATCTTCACATGGAGCATTAAAAGGAATAATCTCTATGTTGTATGTAAGATAGTTCATTACGATTCAAAATCTCCTAGGTAGTGGCAGAAACCAGTGTGCGATCTTCATATAGGTCATTAGAAGAAATAATCTCTATGTTGTATGTAACATAGCTCATTGCGATTTTTCCATAACCTAGTTTTGTATGAAACATGGCTGAAGCTATTCTACATACACACACAATACGCACATATAAATATATATAATAAATAATATAATACAATGGTTCATGCAGTTGATGGACTAAATTGGTATATTCTCTATTATTATAGTCCACATTAAATATGCCTATGAGTTGTGGATTTTCTGAAATGCATTGCTTGATGCAAGATGAAATATGCACGTAGCTCGAGGTAGACCAGGTGGCCCGCGCTTTACTTGTGGCTAGTAATTTCATTTGTAAAATTAATTAATCTATTTATGTTGGTACTTTGTTTAAGAATGCTTTGATTGGGATGGATATGCCAATGTACGAGAACAAAAGGGTGGCTGGTGAATACAACATTTCCGATAATAGTGGCAGTATCGATGAAATCCCTTTCGATGATGATTATTTTGAGGTAAGAACCAACATATTCTTGACTTTTAGTGGGAATTGATAATCTGATTGAGACGAAGATATATGAAATTAGAATTTATTGATTTTGGAAGGTTTGGGGAAGAAGAGGTATAGGAATTAGAAAGACAGTCATGAAAAACACAATAAAAGATCTAATAAATTTCCTTGTAGAATTCTGGGTGCGCCTGATAATTCTTTAGAGATGTTCTTCAAAGTCACTTTGTTCTATAAAGATCGACAGCAAAACGAAGTTTTAAACAATTCTAACTTTTTCTAGCAAGTTAGAATTTTTCTTTTCTACCCAAAAAAAAAAAAAAATTCCAACTTTTTCATCCCTTGCTTGTCAAAAAATTATATATATGGGGGGTCATGCTAGTTCAAATTGGCCAGATGGCTGGAAGAAGCTTTCTGTCTTGTCTACAGGTTTCTCAATTGAGGTGGAATCTTAATGAGTTGAAAATTTTCTGCCTTTCTTATACTTAATCCACTTGAAAAACACACTGGGGGAAAGAAAGTTCCTTTGGATGTAACTTTCCAACCAAATTATTTGTGTCTTTTTTTTTATAATTAATATTATCCTCATTTTCATTCTATATATTTTTGTGATTTTTTCTTTTTTGGTGGTTTTGTTTTGTTGGATGCTTGTAAATTTCAAGATGGAATGACTTTTTTTTGTTGTAGGTTGTAGAATCTGAAGTTTCTGAAATTCCATTTGATTGGGGGATGCCACATGCTTCTACTTTGATTCATCCTATTTACTTTGCAAAGTGCTTGACAAAGGTGATTACTCTTTGGTTTGATAAATCGATCAAGCAACTTTCATGATTCAAGTATTTTTTTTTTAATTGATAATCTTATTATAAGAATAAATTGTATTGCCCGATGTTGTAGTCGTCGTTAAATTGATAATCTTATTTTGAAATATTTTCTTAATTTCCAAGGTTTGTCTTCTAAAACTACCTGTTGCATTGAAACAATTTTATTTCTAACTAAACCGTGTTTATGTTCACTGCTCACTAGTGTGGAAATTTTGAGAAACGTACCCCTTTGATCAAAGCAGTTTAAAACATTAATCTCATTTCTTTATCTATTTGAATTTTCAAGGCCCACATACATATCATGTGAGAAGAAAGTGATCAATAGTGTTTATCTAACATATTGTGGCTATTGAAAAGCAAAGGTACCATTAAAAAATTCTTTAATGTGCACCTTTTGTTGGACAAAAGTGCATGATTGGAAAACACTAATATGTGATGTGTCATAAGAAGTAAAGTTGTTCCTGTAGATCTAGAATTTGAAATGTTATGAGGATTTTTTTTTATTTTTTTTTTATGTGCATGTAATATTATATGTAAAATTTAAAAGAGATTGCCTTTATCCCCCCTTTTTTTTCATATGTATTTAGGGCATGTTTGGAAGGTATGCTCAAACCATGATTCTTGATTTTGACGTTTGAAATTCAAATATTTTGTGAGTGGAATACATTGTAGCCGCATCAATGATTTGAGTTTGAGTATATGAAACAAACGGACCCTTAATATATCTCACGAGTCTCATTGAGATGATTTACTTTCGTTCTAGGTTGTTAATATGGAATATGATAGGAAAATGGACCATCCATCAAATGGTGTTTCTATATTGGGATGTCTCAGACCTGCTTTTGCAGATGAAGAATCACATATAAGAAGATTATTTTGCTACGAAGATGGTGATGGATACCATTCAGAGTGGTCGGGTACTTATCAATTGTGTTTATACTTTTATCCTAATCTTATATGATAATTACTTTTCATTTTCTTGTCAGGTAGAGGAGTTAGTTTCTTGAATTTGATTTTTAACATAAATTGAATTCATACGGATTCGTACTTTTATGTTTTAAATTTTTTGTAATGTATTTCTTTTGCTCATGGTTAATTTGTGATTTACAAAAGAACTTCATAAACAGCTTAATCTATATTTGAATTTAAGAAACTGTTTCAGAAACTGTTTGGCTTTAATTTTGTTTTTGTTTCTTTAGTGCTCTAGTAAAGAGGATAACTTATCCTCCTTTCTCGTGTATTACACATTTATGATTATATCATTACTATCCGTTTTCTTGCCAAAAAAAGAAACTGCTTAGCATGCGGTAATTTTTCCATTTAACTCCATTTGGTCTCATGTCTAGATGGTGAAACTCTCAGCTCTAATTCGAGAAGGGATCGAGGGAACAGTGGATCAACCCTATACAGGTTGGAGATTTTGAGAATAGAGCTATTCTCCGTATATGGTGTTCAGGCATGTATATTTCACTTTCTATGGTCATGCGTGTGAGTTTTACTCCTTATTGTCTTCTTTATTTTTAACTTTTTAATTTTTCAGTTTTGTGTTAAAAGAAAGAAAAAAAAAAGAAAGAGAGAAAAGCACAAGATTAGAAGAACAAGGTGTCCTTAAGAATACACACACATTACATAGCATCATTCCAAGTTCCAACTCAAAATAATCAAAGAAATGGGAATATCTTTGAATTTTCAACAAATAGAAGCCCGTAAGCAAGGCGGAAATTTCATTTCCTCCCCTACAGAAACTTCAAAGTGGAATAACTTGCAAAAAGGAAATAAATAAATCCTTGCGTTTTGTTTTGAAAAGTTTTCGACATAAGGACCTATGCGGAACAAAGTGAATAATCAATATTGTCTATGATAAGCAGTGGAAAGCTGTATTTCTTTCTTTTGTTCTTTCTTTCTTTCTTTCTTTCCTTCTTTTTTTTGTTTGTTCTTTTGTGTTATTCTAAACCAAGAAACCCTTGTTACCATCCTGAAAATTCACTTTTGCGAGCCTGAAAGTTATTTATTTTTAAATTTTGCATAATTGCAGTCTGCAATTAGTTTGCAAGATTTTCAAGACGCGGAGCCTGATTTTCTTGTGCATTCTACTTCAGCAATTGTAGAGCGCTTCAGTGAAAAAGGTATTAGGTGTGATGTTGCTCTTAAAGCTCTTTGCAAAAAGAAAGGTCTTCATGTTGAGGTAAGACACTGGTTTTTGCTTTGCATTTGTGTTAATACGATTAATTTGCTACTTATGTTGTTATCATGCTTAAAATTTCTATTCCACTCTTCATCTTCTACTATTTTTGTAATCGTGCTAGTTATCCACGTGATAAAGTTTGACACTAGGATGTAAAAAATATGGAGCTAATGCGTACGGCAGTGTTTATAGTTCTTTTTATGCATTTATCAAGTGTATATTTCGTTTTTCAAGTGTAACATACTTGGTATTAAACGAGTGTTTTGACCCTTCTACGGAAAAAATATTGTAGGGAGCTCATTTGATTGGCGTTGACAGTCTTGGAATGGATGTCAGAGTTTCTGTGGGGTCGGAAGTACAAACTCATCGTTTTCCCTTTAAAGTCCGGGTAAGCATTTTGCAGTGCAGTTGAACATTTTTTTTCTTTTACCCACACACAAAAGATCAGGTTGCACGACTTTTATTTCCGGTTGTATACATGTGCGCTTTGTGTGTAAATGTGTGTGTCTAGATTTATATAGCAATGGTCAACTATAGGAACCATTTATGGGATGTTTGTTTCCTGTATTCGTTCCTGATTCTAAATCATGATTCATGGTTCTCTACAGTATTTTTCTCTTACAAAAAATACACATAAAGCGAGAATGATTCTGAATCTATGAACCAAACGTCCACTTAATTTTTTCCCATTACATAAAAAAAATAAAGAGTATTTTTTGTATTTTTGTTGATAGAAACAATCAACAAGTAGGTTTAAGGAGAAAGGGCCTTCCAAATGAAAATCCAAAACAGATAAAAGAAACCACAAGGCAATTTCGCTATTAAGGCTCTGAGAAGGTTGCTAAAAATACTCGCACTCCTTCTGAGGCATGCTTGTATTATCTTAATGTCTTTTTCAACTGGAGCACGGCTATTCATCACACCGGTGATGCAACGCCACATCTGTTGATGAAAGAGAACTTAACACATGACAAAATGTAAAAGAACTGGATCCCATTTTGATATGCAGCAGTTCAATGTACTGTCACATCTATGGCGACTGCTGCATTTTTTCTTACAATTTTACGTTCTCTATTTGTCGATGCCATCGTTGTCTTTCTGAGTTTAGCTAATGAATTGGCTTTAACATGTAAAGTTTTATGTCATTTAAAGAAGTGCAAATGCGTTGATGGCTGTTGTGTGAATGAATTTGAGTACAGGCAACTTCTGAAATCGCAGCAGAAAAGCAGATTCGGCAACTCATGTTTCCGCGGGCTCGTCGTAAGAAATTGAGAAGTCATGGGACTGGTCTTAGAGACCCTACTTCTTACTAATTCTAACCGTCGCTTTGTATTGTGTTAATTTAGGAACAAAAAATCGTTAGAAAAATAACTCGAGGCTTAAATTGTTCGTTAGAATCGCCTCTTTTTTTTTTGCTTTAAATATTTTTGTACATTATTAGTTTTGATCTTGTATAGAACAATGAAATAAGGTGCAAGATGCCCCCCAAAAAAAAAAATTGCTAAAAGCTGATTAGCATTTTGAAAAACGAAAATCAAGCTCTGCAATTTGCATGTCTAACTTTGTTATCCTTGAAGTTAATTACTGGTTTAAGTTGTGAAGTTACTCGTGTGGTCAAGGAATAGAAGGATACTTGTGTTGTTACGGAATAGAAGGATACTCAGGTCCGTTGTCCTATCATTTCACTGATTTGAGTTTAGAATTCGAGTTTTGTTACAGTAAAAAACTTTCAGAAATAGTTACATTTAACTTTTTTGTTACAGTAAAAATTTCTCACATGAAGTTTCATCTTAACTCAAATTAAAAAGTCGAATCAGTGAACTAAACATGGTTTTAATTTGCATATCACAACATTGCTTTGCAATGAATTGTTATTAAGGGCTTGGCTTTTTTACTTTTTCAGGGAAAGTGAGGAAAGAATGATAATTTAATGAGGGGAAACTAATCATATTTTTCCCATAGTATTGTTTCTCATTCAGTTGGAATAATCCGCAAAATTATTTTTCAACTAATAAAACATGGACAATTTTAGTACAAATTAGTAACTAAAAGTGTCTAGGCCTAAAATAAATTGGCAATCCTTTTTTTTTTTTTTTTTTTTTAACTGTATGCAAAAGTGCAAAAGCCAATCTACATGATTGGTGATGAAATGGAGAAAATCCACTGAATCTGATTGCTTCACATAAAATCCGCTTGTGGAATATGTGCTTAGTGGGTTGGTGGGTTGGTGGTTGAGACTCTAATCATTTCATTTCACTAGTTTAAATTATAATTTAATTTTTATTAACATTATTTTTTCTTATAAAAATTTAAATTCAACTCAAATGGGTCTTCAAAATTCATAAATAAAAATTTATGATATAATAAAACATAACCTACTTTTTATAATGGTTGTAAAATCTTAGCATTTATCTTTTGTAGAAAGAAAGATCCTTGCAATTTCAGACAAGAGTGACAGTCATTTCTGAATTTATTGATTTATTATTTGTTTATTTATTTTTGGCTCGGATTTCTTGGATTTATTTGTGAGTGGGTGTATTGGTACGGCCACTAGTGGATACTAGTGTGTTACCCGTGCTATTGCACTGATGTATATTTATCTATTTAATATATTTTATAAAAACAAAACAAAATATGGTACACAATAAGAGTTCAATTTGTAAGCAGTATACATTTATTTGCATATTTGTGTGTGTATATATATACATATTTACTCGTCTCTACTTTTTTTCTTTGTTTTTTCTGAGCTGCAATAAAAAAATACGGAAAAGAAAAAAAATTAGTTGTTAATTAATTATGATGAATAACAATAAATTTGTTTATATTTAATGAAATAATAATTTTAATATGTAATGTATAATATTATCTGATTGGTTTTCATTTTTTCGAAGAACTAATGGAAGAAGTGAACTCAAGTTGTGTTGAAAGAGGTCGATGGTAATGACTGTAATAATAATAAATATTATTACATTATAAATAATGTTCTATTAACATTAAAAAAAAATAAAAAGGATAATATTTGAATGGGAGCTTAGTCTGGTTTCACATTCATCATTGTAGGTGGTTCTAAATCTGATGGGGTTGTTCTTGAAGATGTGATGTTGTTGGAGGCAAACACAACAGCGGTTCATCATCGTTGAAAGTTCTTAAATGACCGCGTCGATGAAAGCACCTCGATTACGAAACTGTATAACAAATATTTTTGACATTCCTCTAATTTGATCAAGGATGGGAGAAATCGTATAACGATCAGTGTATTCTTCCTCATAAGTGAGTGTAGAGCAAACTTTATTTATGAGTGATTGAACAGTTTTGCTAAACATGATTACATTTGTTCTTCTCATGTTATCTTCAATACGCACGTTGACTTTGTACCTGTTTATAAAGATTAAAATTTGTTGTACTATAAATTTAAAAAAAATGTTTTTTAAATAAATTTTATTACCATGTAAGCGGCATTGTAAATAAATATCCATCTATGTCACAAATTATTATTTTGAATAGTGAAACTTCTTCTTTTCACTATTCTTTCACCAATGGCTGATTCCTCAACACCGTGGAAACATATTAGTCGACCAATGACATCTGATAAGAATAATAAATTTATAATCATTTAGTTTTAATTACTATAAAATAATAAATATTGAAATTAACATTATAAATATAAAGTTAAAGTAACCTGAAAGAACGTCATTGACATCGATTTTTTGCAAGAACTGATCAAATTCTATGAAATTGAACTTCTCTCGAGGTATTTCTGGCATATCTTCATCAATACGTTTAAAAATTGTTGGTCGAGCAATTCGTAGCATCGCTATGTGAGGAATGATTTAATACTTTGGCTTGTTGGTATTAATGAAAAATTTAGTAATTTCATGTATATCGCCTTCTTTAATAGTTTGACTTATGTAGTCTGCATCTCTTGATCGAATAACGGCATGTACTGCTTCATGCCGTAAGAAGTATAAATTATATTGTTATTAGTTGTATATTAATAACAGTGAAGTGGTTCACGGGCGTGAAACACGAACGAATTAAGGGGCTCGGGGAGATGTGCCACCTGAAACCTTAATTGGATATAAAGAAAGAAAACTAGCAAGTGAAGTGATTTATGGATGTGAATCATGAAATGAATAAAACTATCAAGAGGAAGGGGAGGTGGGTTTGGGGGAGGGGAAGGGTTCTCCTCGCTTAGCGTCCCGCCATTCCGAAGGAATGGAATAAAGGGACGACTTAACGTTTTCAATTTGAGAACTCAGAAAATGTCTACAGTTAAAAACTCTCAGAAAATGTCACTTCTCAGCTCAAATTGAAAACTCGAATCGGTGAAATGAACGAGGACTTCATCATCTTCAACATAGTCAAAAATCTCTTTATAGGTGTCATTCCAACTTCTTGGGGAAAGCTAACAAAATTGCAAGCTTTGGATTTGGGATTCAATGGATTATCAGGAGAGACACCCTCATCTTTTGGAAATCTCACCCAATTGTCCTATCTTTATCTTTCGGATAAGAAACTAAAAGGAAGCATTCCCCCAAATATTGCTAGCTCAAAAACTTTGAATTTCTTTGAAATTTCAAATAATAACTTTAGTGGAGCCATTCCCAAAGTGGTCTTTGATGTTTCCTCATTGCTCTTACTTAACTTGTCAAGCAAGTCATTCACTGGCAGCCTTCCCGCGGAAGTGGGCAAGCTAAAGAATATCGATACAATCGACCTCTTTGGAAACTATTTTTCCGGTGAAATCCCAAAAGCCATAATGCATTGAGAAATATCAAGCACCGAAATCTTGTTAAGATCTTGACATGTTGCTGTAGCATGGATCACAGCGGCAACGAATTCAAGGCATTAGTATTCGAGTACACGTCGAAAGGAAACGTAGAGAAGTGGCTGCATTCGGTAACTGTCAATGGAGACCAACAGACGATTTCGAACCTAATTCAAAGACTAAAATATTGCTTTAGATGTAGCCTCAGCAATACACTACCTTCATGACCATTGTGAGCAACTTATCATACACTGCGACTTGAAGCCGAGCAATGTTCTTATCGATAAGGAAATGGTTGCTCCTGTAAGTGATCTCAGACTAGCAAAGATGATCTCAAACACGGCGAGACGAGCACAATCGGGATTGAAGGAACCATCGGATATGCTGCTCCAGGTAACAACTCTCCGAACAAGTTTTACCATTTCTTTTATGACATATCACATGGCAGGTGAATTGTCATACTAATTTCATTAGTAGATCTAAGTATTCAATATTAGTTGACATAGAAAGCTTTTAAGTATCTATCAATAAAATAAACGTGACAACTCACGTTTCATGTGAATTGGAATAAAAGTTGGTACTCTCAGCATTGATGCTTTCTTTAGAGTCCATTTAGTTCGCTGATTCGAGTTGAGATATGACTTTATGTGAGAATTTTTTACTGTAATAAAAAAGTTAAACGTGACTGTTTCTGAGAGCTTTTTACTGTAATAAAACTCGAATCGGTGAAATGAACGGGGCCATATCTATGAAAGTTGTTGTTAAAATCTAATATATGCATTGAAAAACAATCAAGAAGCAAAAGATGAAATTGAATGAACAAAACAATATAGAGATGCTTACATTGCTACTGTTGGGATCGACGGGGAGAGAAGAAGAACTAGATAATTAATAGGTTCTTATTCCCAAATGAGTGATTTTTATAGAATCATCTTATAATTTGCAAGTATAGGACTTGAATGAATAAAAAAGGAGTGTAACATTTAGCATATCATTCAGTTTAAATCTTACAACTGTATGATAAATCTACTCTAAATGAAAGCAATTGTATTTACAAGTTTTCTCAACGTTTCTAATGCATTCTTACCATGATACTTTCTTCTCCCTAAGAGAGATCGATTTTACTGCCGTTTTTAGAGCAACTTTTCCGTACTTGTACAACCAAGCTCTCAGCAATTTTCACCACGTAATCTTTGTTCAGAAAAAATGCCAAAATTATTGTTATTATTGTTTTTTTTTTTTTTCAGGGTCAAACTTGTTCACCAGCAGTGAGCCGGCAATATAGGTCACGATATGACAACACGACTCGAAAACAACACAAATTTTGTGGGTTAGGGTTGAGAAAAAAGAGGTTCAGGTCAGAATTGGGTCGATCTGAAATCGACACGAAAAATACGGATCAATTTCGGGTTGGACCTGCCTAATCTAAACACGACACGAAACTTGTAAAAAACTAAAAAAATACATATATTATTCATTATATATTTTTGATTTTATTATGAACTTGTGATATCATAATAGTTATGCTCAAAATCTTATACTATTATTTGCTTAATTTCAATAGATGTTATTGTAATTTAGTGTACTATGAATTTTAAGTTATTTATAATAGGTAAAAAACTAAATAAAAGTATACAGTTACCGTGTCAATTTCGGGTTCACGGGTCAATTTCATGTCATGGGTTATTTTCGTGTCATGTCATGTCAACCCATAAAGTAGTCATGTTGTGGTTTTTGAAAAATTTTGTGTCACGGGTCGTGTTCGAGTTGACTGTAAATTTAAAAAGAAACAATCAAAATACGACACGTGACACGAATTACCACCCCTACACCAACTTTCATCTTTTCACTAGAATGAAACCTTTGAGGTGATATCCTAATGAAACTAAAATTTTTCGAAGGGTTACAAATTAATCACTATTCATTAATGGTTTCAAATTAATGAGTTTCCAACAATTTGTTAGCCATTTGCGGACAAAAATAGCGGGAGGATCCAAATAATAAAAAAAAAGTATTAGAAACACAATCAATTTTATTTTAGCTCATGTTTTATCGCTTATCATAACTTATTTAAGATTTTCTCTGGTGTTCCCTCTTTTTTGAAAAGCACCGGTGTTTCTCGTTTATCAACCGTCAAAATTATATTAAATTTGGTAAAAAAATCAAATTAGATTAAAAAAATAATACATGTTTGACGGCTGATAAGCAGATAACAGTAGTGAGAAGGGGTACCAAAGAGATTCCCAACTTATTCTTAGGGTTTTAACTTTTTAGTATCCGTTAAACTATAAATTGATCATGTTTGAGAGTAAAGTTAAATCCTCATAGAAAATGTCAATTTGGTTGGAATGTTCCATTAGATCTTGATGCTAGTTGACCCATCTCTCAATTCTTTTTTTTTTTTTTTCTGCTCGATGAAATTCGACCAAACATTGAGTTCTCTAACAAAAGAAAATATCGATTCGATATCAATCACTTGACAAATTCATGTCTTAAATCAATACGTTAAAATTTTCTATAAAACAGATAAATAATGCTAATGCCAAAACATTATAGCCCTGAGAAAATCAGGTAGAAAAGATGATAATTTAATTGTGCAATAAAGAAAAACTGCAAAGGCAAAAAAAGGAAGATTGTTAAGCAAAAACGATTACTCATTTTTACGATAGTTGATGCCCTAGAATACCATAATTTCATGCGTATATTTCAATTCACGATGTAGCGAATGGCGCTCCTTGTAGCACCGATGCTGCTTCTAGCTATTCCTCTTCTTATTCATCTTCTTCTGTGGTTCAACCCCTAATAATATCCTACAC